GGCTGTATTTCATATTGTGTAAATGTAAAATTGTATGTCTGTGATATGGATTCTTGTGTATGTCTTGTTGATCTGCGTGATAGCCGTGTTTTTTTCGTAATACTTAAAACAAAAAGTGAGTTTAGTCGAGCGTGTGGGGGCTATAATCATGGTTTTTTCGTTTTAAACTCGAAAGATAGTGTGATAGATATATAGCTCTTGAGTTGAAAACTAATCAAGCGGGATGTTTAATTTTCTGAACCTTTCCTGATTTTTCGGAAACATTCTTTCAGCTAAATACATGCTTTAAAGTATACACTACCTTTTTGTGGTATCGATGATATCTCTCGACGTTATTTCTTTGATTTGCACACATCAGAGCCAGGCTTTCTTTTCTTGGGACAAAGATCGAATTCAGCCTTTTATATATGATTGTTCTTTATTCCTTCTGAAAAATGTGGATCCAATTTTTAGGGTTGGTTTCAGATCCGGATTGCTGGAGGTAGAACTATGTGTATTTAGTAATTATTAGTTCATAAGCTATGTACATCCAGTCGATATGCAATTCTGGCGCATTGTGTAAAATTTGCAAGCTTTCAAGTCGCGTATTTCTTTCTGCCTATCGTCCTACGCAAACGCAACACCAGACAGCTCACCACTGCACTCTTTTGTATCTTTAAAAGAGGTGTAAACAATTTATTATCGACGAATTCTCTTCGTGGTGCCATTATTCTGGTTGCGAAGACAACCTCACACGTCATGAGCGATCGTATATGAAATGGCGCCCCGATATAATTTGCGGACGAATCGTATTTGATTGCGAATAATAAATATATTTGTGTTCAATCGCACACTCGCCAAGCGCACCCATTTCAATTGCTATCTCAAAATGGTCTCCAAATATTAGTTCTGATATCATTGGTGCTACATTTTATATTTCTGTTCTTATTTCCAACTGCGCAGAGAGCCTAGTGAAGGCAACTTATTCAGATACACAAGCGCACTCCTCTAAGATGATCTTGAGGTGCAGTTTTGAATCATAATAGGGTACAGGTCTAAAAATGGACCGATGATTCTAAGGATGCTAACTTTGAGCGTAATTGTGCATCACAATGCCAAGTTTTGTATGACCAAGAATAAACAGAAATATGCGCACCCACGATTATCTGAGTCTTAATCATATCACTTTAAAAAATGGGCCGATGATTCTAAGGATGCTAACTTTGAGCGTAATTGTGCATCTCAATGCCAAAGTTTTGTATGACCAAGAATAAACAAAATTATACGCACCCACGATTATCTGAGTCTTAATCATATCCCTTCTCACCATGTACTCTCGGAAGGGGGTTCACACTTTCTATCGCATAGTATTCGCAGCCTGTGACCAAACTGAATCCGTAGATTTGCGGGGTTCACTGGCACCAGGTGAGCCTACCTAATGATATTTGTAGATGCAGATACGAGTAGAGTGGCCAGTCCTTGTATGTGTTTAGAAAGTGGATAGGCATACTCAGATAGTCATGCATACTGGCGGAAATGGCAGAATTTAATACACAAGAATACTTAACATCTTGAGTAGCCTGCGAGAGATCACCAGCCCTTTGCACGGCCAAACATTGCAGTCCGCGGAGGAGCAATCAGCATTTGAGTTGTTTGTAATTTGTAGCTGCAAATTTTTTGTATGTACTCTAAAAATGTGCCATGGTATAGCACGATACCGTTTACGCGTCATTCTAAGCTGTTGCCAATACTGTGTTGAACACAAAAACTGCACATTGGACGTGGTAATATTAAGATTCTCTGAAAGATCTGATCACCACATCCGAATTCGCTGTTTTAATGCAATGCGCGTTGGTGTCTGTGCTCAGAGTCAATGATAGACGTATTTGTCAAGGAGTGTCACAATCTGAGTATTTTGGACAGAATGAGACAATTGAATTTTGGCTGACAGTGATTAGTGTAATCTATATCAAACGTGTCAATGGAAGAGAGTACAATTACCGCTGAATCTGGGAGGGTGCGATTGGCCTGCGTTGTTGGCTTGGTAGGAGCGGACCGTATTGTGATGAGTGGCCACGTGAACTCACACCCCATACCTCAAATGCTCTTGCATATTTATGTGTAGCTAATCAGACACATCTCGCCCTCAGGAATTAGAAGGCGGTGTTCCGGAGCAAGAATAGCATGGCCACACTCGAGATATCAAACGATCTATGAGCAATCAAAGGTCGGACAGGATCCGTATAAAAACCAGCAATTGCACTTGGAAAGTCACATCACATTGCAGCTGTGAGTATCTATCAGACACGCCCCCATCAACAAACCATCACGATGGTTCAAAGTTTCTATTCTACTGAATCCAACACCAAGGACGCCACTGGGTCTAACACTAAGCGGCGCTGCACAAAACCAGTGCAAATCGCAATTGTCGTTACTGCTGTGCTACTGATTGCTGGTATTATCATAGGAGCGTTAGCAGCTACCGGCACGTTCTCAAGTTCATCTTCTAGTGCTTCCGCACAGGGGTCTGTACAATCTGAAGCACCCACAACCAGTCTGCCACAGAGCACCGAGCCTATTTCATTCACCGAAGTGACTCCACCATTACCGAGTGCCACTTCCCCTTTGCCTACGCCGCCTTCAGAATCAGAAATTGCTCAGATGAAGCCGCGAATTGAGGTCCTGGAGAATCTGACAGTGTCTTGGGCGGAGTGGAGGGCCCAATGCGGCGATGGAGTATGTGGAGAGGGTGAGTGGTGCAGAACATGTCCGCAGGACTGCCCATGCACCGCGATACCTGGAAATGGTGTGTGCGAGGACGGAGAGAACGGAGTGACAGATCCAGACGATTGTCTCAAAATGAATAGCGTGTGCGGGAACGGTATATGCGAGGACTGGAGTAGTATGGGGTACCACAACTTCTATGAGTCACCATACAACTGCCCTATCGATTGCCCGCTTGAAGAGGAGTGTGGTAACGGGATTTGCGAATCTACAGAAAGTTGTTTCAGATGCTCAGTGGATTGCGGTGTTTGCGCGCCCACGTGCGGCGATGGTGAGTGCAATGAGTCAGTCGGAGAGACCTGTACAACATGCAAACGCGACTGTGGCTTGTGTGAAGCAATCAGCAACGACAACATCTGCGCATGGCCAAAAGAAACCAGCGGGACGACACCATCAGATTGCATCCCTGCAAACATTCAGAATAGCGTTGTGATGCCCTTTGGCGTGATATATGCGACACTAGGCGAGACTTCTCCCGAACAGGTTCCATACGAAGATAGTGATTGTGATAGCACCGAAACTTATTTACCTAATGGGTGGAAAATAGCTGACAACAATCAACATAGCAAGGAGGTGGCCGCAGCTTATCCTTTCGCAACACCCTGTGTTGTCCTTAGTGACGGTACAGTGCTAACGACAAAAGGGAGCAACGCGACATATTGTCATCCAGTCCCACTCGTGATCACGACTCACAGCGATCGTAGGGTTTCAGTGCAGTTTCTTACAGAACTCTGTCCGGCAAGAATCTTAATTGAGCAGATTGACAGGTGAGATACTCAACTGAATCCATACACTTGCGTTGGTTGTCTATCTCCTTTGTTTTATCAGCATGTTTATAATTTAGATATACTGGCATGTTTATAATTGGCTCGGAACATTCGATTAATTTTGATGGCACACCAAATTCCTTCACCTATACTTATAGCGTGCTGAGAGCACCGGGATTCACTGCTAAAGCATGTCCGGCAAATTGTAATGGTCATGGATCGTGCGACCCAATCAATGGAAAGTGTACCTGCGATAGTCGTTATACCGGAACCGAATGTGGCCGTATAATGGGCGACATATCTATCCCGGCGAACCTTGAAAGTGAGTCAGGTGTCAGTCAGTGAATTCATCGTATGACGTCTGCGTGCGAATGAATTCCATCGATCAGATTGCTCTGGTTGTCCCATTATGGTGCACATTTCAATGGCGAAGCTTATATTCAATCCTTGCCTTGATCGTATTTTAAAAGCTCGTATTGAATCTTTGAATCAATTATGATCATGGGCAGATGTAGAGAGGTTCAGGCCCCAAAAAGGAATCAGATGGCAGTGGCAACTGCAGGATACAATCGACGAGTCTCATGATGTCCCACTATACGATGTCGATATCGACACGCCAGCTAGCACAATTGCTTCTCTCCATGCGGCAGGTAATATATACGAGTGGATGCAATAGAGGCAACGCTGTGTTTGCGGGTGTTAGGAAAGTTTTTGACAAATCCGTATGCTCATTCTAACTTTTGTAATTGCGTTTACAGGGCGTAAAGTGATGTGTTATTTTTCAGCTGGAAGTTATGAAGATTGGCGAATGGATCGAGCCCTATTTCCTGAATTCATAAAAGGCGGGCCTCTTATGTTTGGAGAGGGCGACGTATTTACTGATGAGGCATGGTTGGATATACGCCGGATTGATATTATCGCGCCGATTATGATGGATCGTTTAGACGCTGCAAAGGCAAAAGGATGCGACGCTTTGGAATTCGATAACCCAGACGTTATAATTCACGAGCATGGACTAGAGGTTAGTACCTGTTTGGTATTCCCAAACATTCAGAATCTGCTAAACACGCCTATACCAATAACTTTTTTAATTCCTGATTGTCAACTGTACTATAATACATTGATCACCTCAATATTTCTCCTTTTCTCCGAGTGCAGGGCAATATTGATCTGACTCTGCAATTGCAATTTGATATATGGGGTGTTAGACAGGCACATGCACGAGGCATGTCCGTGGCACTAAAGAATTCGAATGAGTTTGCATTCCTCCTAAGTGACACTTACGATATGGTGGTAAATGAAGAAGCCTTCATCAATGGAAATATTGATAATTACTGGCCCTTTCTCCACAGGTATGTCCTTTCGATTTCAATTCAATTTGCATTCAAGGAATATCTATCTGAACTTTTGAAACATAATTGATTCCTAATATCATCTGTATGATATGTATATATTTTAATAAAGTTCTAGAAACTATTATTAGTCCATACACGCGGACAATTTCCCAAATAGATCATACAAACACTTCCATCGATACAGAAATACTACATCAATTACCTCGTAAACTTGAACATTATAAACTCTCTTCCCCATTTAATACAGGAATAAACCAGTGCTGAACACCGAGTATTTTACATCGAGGTGCTTTTATTGTGCCACTGCTAAAGCAATGGGCGTATCAACTATTAAGAAGAGACCGGATCTCGACAGTTGCATGGTAGATTGCACGATGGATATACCCTTGAGTGTTACATCTGTTTGTGATGATATTGGATTCCACACAGCAGGTAAAGCTAAATTTCCAGCAAATGCGGATGGTTGGTGCCCAATGACAGAAAATACGGACATCGCAGAGTGTGCAAATACCCGATTTGGGGAATGCGAGCCATCTTATGGGTACTAGTTGCATCTTGAACTTCGATTAAATACAATGAAATATCAGGTAACACATAGAAATGTCTATTAAATACGATAAATGATCAGGCAGTACATAGTACCATTAACAATATACCATATTCAAATGAACTAATAAATCGGTATATTTAGATTATAAATACAAGATATTTAATAGACCTGGGACGGGGTTTCAACGAATAATCAAAATCGAATTATTTGTCACTATTATGTAGTACAGAGTGTTTTAAGGACGCACAAACATATTTACATCATCGTTTGCGAGCTGAGCTTTCAGCTGTTGGATCAGCGAGGCTTGAAAGTTTGTGCCGTTCTCAGGTTCGGCCCTGTGCCCTTGGGAATGGGGAATTGGGTCGACATTTCACATTCGATATAATCGTCATCGACTGTTATCTTTTGATCGGGATCGCTGATTGGTCAGTGATTGTTTTTTCTTAGAAATCCTCGCGGCTCGCGCACTTCACTTATTTTTTATTCAACAAGAGGATTCTGATACAGGGGTTTTTTATACGACAAATGCCGAGACGCCTGAAAGATTTCAGTGCACTGCTGGACCTGGTGTTACTTTCACTCGAACAGCTGTGGCTACTACCGCAGATGATAGAAGTAAATACTATTCTGACGGTAACAAGAGTAGTGTAGTATACGTAGTGGTAAATATAATACAAAATCTACCTGTGTGAAGCGCATGTGCGCATTTGTTTCACTACGATGCCGGCCGCAGCGACATGGCTCCGCATCGCGGAGAGAGGCTTAGCTTTATCTGCAGCATACTTCTTGGCACGCAAACTGAAGCGATACGGGTTTTTGACTACCACGGTATGGTTGCGCATGCCTATGTTTCTCAACGGGCCATCTCATAGATTCATATAAATAGTTAGTGGGAACCGTGGAAATACATGCAATTCAAGTAGTCGAGGGTCGACGAAGCATTTGGGTACCTGTTGTATGTTCTATACACGATATTGGCCTAAGATCATGATGAATGTAGCGCGCATAACGATTTTTCTACTTAAGTGACATTTTGGTAGCTGTGATTATGCTTCGTTTATAAAACGACTTGTGTTCGTGTATGCATACGTGTCAATGTCCTTTATTTTGTCTTCATTTGCACAATTTTGGACAAACACTTCCGTGTTCAACATCAGATTATATTCGTTTAATACTAACAAGCTGAGTACGCGCAATATAGCCCCTCTGACGCAAGATCACCGAGTGCGAAGTGGAGGTGTTCTACAAAGAAGCATGTCTGTCTTTGTGTCAGAGTAGTTTACAGGGAGACTGATTGATCCCATAAGGGAACAGTTTTCAATTCGGTACAAACACTCTATAGAGTATTTTGAGAAGCACAAGTGTTGTATATTTATGGAATGTAGCGCACACTTATGTGATAACCTTGCTATTCGCATGAGCAAATACGAAATGGCTTTAGTAAGGAGAATCCAGTTTCTTAGCATAAGTCAACAATATCACACTTATATGCAAAACTGTTCATAACCTCAATCGATAGCGAAATTGTCGAAAGCTATTCTTCGATGATAGTTGCACGTTATCTCATGTACCTAGTCGTAATACTAGCAATTTAAAGCTAAAGAGGGCTTGTAGTTACATGAAACATGCACATATACGGGTGGGCGCTAATATATTCGTTTACGATGAGCAGATTAAGCGCAAGCCAAAACAATCTTAGGTAGTACTATATTCACATAGATTCTTCTCATATCTTGTTCTTTTGTAATGTACAATAGAATAATATGCGCTTTGGTAGTTTGAGACAACCTATAACATCTGAATTGAAATGTAGGGTTTACCGGATCGTCTACAGGCCAGACTATTCAAATATTCGCCAAATCGACTTAAATTAACTTCTGTATTTGCTCCAGGTTTATGTGGTGGGCAATGTTTGTGAGGCAGCATCCGATGTGGGTACGACCCTAGGGTGGGTTTATAAGACCGTGTCCGCGTCTGTAGGTATGTCTGTAGCACCTATGTATAGGCTAGCGTGTGTGGCACATAAACGATATCGATTTCAGAGATGATCCGTGATATGTAAATGTCTTTAAGTGTAGATATAGTTATATACTACTCAGCATTGTCACATTGCGAGTGTTCACGGAAAGATGCGGGCTTCATCGCAAGTCTAAAGAGGAACCTGGACTGCTAAAGAACTAGATGATCACGCAATATTGTCGTCTATAGATTTGATTCTTGAACGACATAGAAATGCGACTGTTTTTTATTGACACTACATATATAGACGCTGCCAGGGATCAAGGATCACAGCCAGAGACAAGTGACGTCGTGGAAGAGAGGTGAGTGCATGTGCCTTTATTTGTGCTTTTGTGTGCGATGAATGTATTTCAATATTTTATTATGTGCATATGTGTATTCATGTAGTCCACGATTCGCATTCCTCCTTCGCCATTATTTATGGTCTTAAATTAAGTTTCTAGAGCTCGTCTGCAAGAATGTATGTCAAGAACAGTTTAGAAAGCGTTTATCTCATCTCAGGATATTTTATTTTGGTACAACAGAGACCCTAACAGGACAACACCCAAACCTCTACCGCAAGCGAAAACCCGCAAGGGCATAGCCATTGCATTGCCGATAAAAGGCATGTCGAAGGAAGAGATTATCTCTACACTCGTCAAATTGAAGTACAAGGATCACACGCCGGTGTCACAGATGCAGCTTACGGACATTTCTCCGTTCGCCCAGACACTCAGGGTGACCAACCCCGCAACATCGGCATCAGAGCTACCCACAGGTATGCTTCCGAACTCTCGCTCTAGTTTCTCCAGCATATGATATATATCTATTCTACAGCTGGAAAGTTTTACACCCTCACCGTCGCTCTTGATTTACAAACGAATATTACAGTAGCCGATGCATCTTTGGTGGATGATAGAGAAAGTTCGGTCCTAGATACCCTTGAGGCAGGTACGGCGGATGTTAAGGCTTCGCGAAACCTGTATGTGAGAGGCGCAGCAACCAATACTGGGCCTATAGTCACTCCTTCTCGCAATCTATCACGGTCGGCACCACGTGTACTGCATCGCCAAAATCCCGAGGTGAGTTTATGAGTTTTTGGATGTGGCTGTGATCGTGTTGTTGAAAGATTGTAAAAGGGACAGTTTATACTAAGTACATTCGTAGTGCAATTATGTGAGAATTTGATAGATGTTTCATATTTGTGCTGTATGTTTGCTTGAGAAAGTCTTTGCATACGTAGAGTATATACTGATGCGAATACGCCTTACTGGCTTCGGTGTACAGTTAAGAGCATTCAGTCAATGTAAACGAGATCGAATGTATCCTACTGAGCTCGTACCGTATCAGATAGGACTGAAAGTATCCACACCTTCAGTATTGACTTATGTGAACGTTCAGACGATCGCAAATTTTCCCTTGAACGTTGTCGAAATTCGTACATACATGCTGAATCGTGCATTATATTCTATAGAGGAAGCATTGACAAGAAACTGTTTACCTCTTCATCACAGTCCCCTATGCACGAGTGACTTCATCTCAATTCTGTTTCCCTCAGTCGCGCTCGATGCCTTGCGCCTAACATACTTCCACATCTCGCCAGTACACTCGTAATGAAAATATAGGTCAAGACGATGGGCGAGTATGGGAGCTATACGGTCACGGTCGCTTGAACGACTATCATCCACCCCCTTCGGTCCTGCGAATGGAATCCGATGTGGTATCTATGCTGGCGCGTGCATTTAGCGCCCCTTCGATGGATATCGGTGGGTATGTGACTAGTTCTGCTTGGGATGTGGCGAGTGAAGTAATCGGGTGTGCGCTGCAGAATCGAACGAATAGCCAGTGCACGGTGGTGCTGGTGGGAGACTGTCACAGGTAATCATATACCAGATTGAACTACACATACATCTAACTCTTGACAATGAGCGGAAACAGGATTTTAGCTCAACTTACTTCATTGTTTTGTAAATTCATCGTATTGTCGTTACTTCTTAGTTGTATTTGTTGCTTGGTGCAGTGGTAGGTTGTACGCTATATATAGATATTAATCTGGGCTCCTTGGTGTAGACATTCACTGGCTACATAACACATAGATCCATCTGAATTTGGTGTAACAGTACGTCTGTCAGGTGGTATTCCAGAGGTATACAAACGCGATGTCCGACCTGCAAGAAATTAATCAGAGCTTTGTGATTTCTTGCGTGTAAAAATTAATATACGACTGACTGTCGAACGCTGCATCATCCACTATATTTAAATCAATCAGCAATTTTCTCGTTTTGTGATACAACAAAACTTTGAAGAAATAACCTCCATCATCACTTTTTAACTTCTTGTCCTCAACCTCACTTGACAATGTATTGCCAGTGTATATCAACCTCTATGCATCATGAATTCAAGCGTTCACTTGAAGTTTTTCCATACCTATCTAGAAATTACCAGCTCATACTTGTGAATAACTTGGGTCTTACAACCTGCGTTGCGAATATCCACTAATACCACTATTGTCGTACTATTTTTGCATTTTGAACCAGATCTTGGGAACACGTTATCGAATCATTGGGAGCTCAGCGTGTATGTATTCCTGTTGTATGTGGCGCTGATACGAGCGTATTGTTGAAGTTGAGGCAGCACTTACACACAGACACTGCATTGGTGATTGTCAACCCCTTCACACCAACTTATAATCGACTGCTCTCTAAACGCACGGGAACGTGTACTACTGCGAATTTGGCGTGGATGGGCGAGAGCTGTACCAATCTGGTCCAGTCTATCTTGAGGGTGAGTTTGATCTGTGCATGTACACGCATGATGAGTAATGTTTCTATCTCCTTACTACGGCCCCCATTAGATGCGAGTGAGAGAGGTTTATCGGTTTCTTGAAGGCTGTTGTGCCAAATATGTGAGCTCAGTTTTCAAGCAGCTGTGTGCAATAGGTATAGAGCGTACGCGTGTATAGAGTCACATCGTGTGATTCTTGTCTAAGCCACGGCAGTTAATAGTAGCTTGTATGCGGAATCTGTAGATTGCAATCCTGTGAAAGAATTTTGGCCGTGAATGTGATGGAGCTGTTTTAGGATTGTTTTATACAGCACTTTCTGTACCATGATAAAGGGTTTAGATGTGGGAGTCGCCTGTCGATTAGCTCCGATACACTTGATAACCACTTATCCTTGGATTATCGCATATGCCCATTGCAGGTGATCAATAGCGCCGAGATACCGGTGCACGTGGATATTACTGAGCATTCCATGCTCTTCCCTTCCATCCCCGTGGCCGTCGCCACAGTCCAAATAGCACTCAATGAAGACCACGAACCCAACGAGGTGGAATTCGATGAGAGTGCCACAGCTAAGAGCAGTACTGAACTGCTATCCAGCGTAGCCAACAACCACAGAGGAACTATGCGTTCATTGGTATCAGAAAGTACTACGGGGCCTGTAGTCTCGCTTGGCTTTGGGGTAGACGGTGTGACGAGCCTCTCGGTGTGTGTGGACAGTGTACTGTCGCACGAGAATACGTGCGCTGTGGTGTATAGGGACAAATCATATAGACCTGCAGGTACACCCCGTCCAGGTAGGTCATTCCTTACGTTGTAATCAGCTTAAGTCAACACTGTTGGATGTCGATTATGGCGCTCTCGAGAGAAATAACAGAGTACATCGAGGCAATGCATGCATTGGCGGCATCTCATAAACTTTTGCTGGCTTTTTATATCCTTTCACCTACTTAGTATAGCTGTATTGATTCAACTGAGTGCGTTGAACGCTATCGTCCATCCTGATTGTTTAGATTGTTTGGTATATATCTCGCATTAGTGTAACGTCGCTGCACCATTTCACAGGTGTCACATCGGGATCTATAGCGAGTGCGTGGGCGACGATGATGAATTTTGGACTCGAAGGGTATAGCCTTGCTGCCAACGATCTCGTGGTTGCTAGAGCCAGGCTGTGTGAGAGTATCGCAGGTATGTTGTACTAATTAGGGATAAAAAACATGTGATATGCCATGATCTGTCTGGTTTATGGAATGTATATGAGATTTCCGGCGTGCTGTACAAGTTTTACACCTGATGTATCGGGCCTTGATATCTAAGGTGCTGTAGCTTGCTACCGCTTTAGCATCAGTCTCGCATTTCATATTGCAACGTATCAGCTCTCTCACTGAGCACATATAAGTTCGAATTCTTGACCTACTTGTCATCTACATAGAGATATTGGTTTTACAGATTACGTCCGCGTTTCGACCCAATACAAATGGCCTAAAGATTCAGTCTATACTGACAAGTTATTGGCTCGCAGTATCTCGGTTTGTTGAGCACAAATATGTACGAGCTAGACCTAAAACTTAGACCGACCCTATAAGAAGACACCACACTCACCAGGACTGACATTCTTAGTGCTGCATCAACCAGCACCCGTTATTACTACTCCACGTTGTTTCTCCTTGCCAACCCGTTGCTATACATAGCAATATGGAGTATCTCAATATGTCTCTCGGCTTCTTAGAAGGACTGACTCAGCGAATACGCATCACACTTTTGATGGCCAATACCCAAGGCGATGCATGATACAAACAGTAGCTTCTAAGCTAATAGAGCAACCTATTCTCACCTCATTATACACGGTGATGGATAAGCTAAATGATTTTCTCAGCTACGTAGAAGCACTGACACTGCAAATGCACACAGATTATGACAGACACTGAAGACGATAAAGCTCTTATCATTGCTACATTTGCCTGTTTTCTTCTCCTTACTCTACACAGAGATGGACGAGCTAGACGTGTCTCTCAGCTACGTAGAGGCACTGGCACTGCAAGTACACACCACCCCCACCATGACCGACACCTTGGGCGCTACGGTAGTCAACACATTAGACATCGCCACAATCGGAGCTCAGCTCAATGCACGGTCGTGGTTGGTGGACTTTGTGGCTGAGCCACATCCACACCTGAGTGTGTCGGTATCACTGGCTATGATCCCGTCGTTAGAAGATTTCTTGGAGGACCTGCATTCAATTGTCAAGGTAAAGCACCAAGATCATGGTTGTAGTACCAAGATCATGGTTGTTACACATGTTTCTGGGAGTACGTAATGGCGTCTGATAGCTACTTCACTTAGCTGTACACCGCTCAGCAAGTGACTGTATCAATGCTTCGTGCAACGAGTCGTTTCTTGGGGCATTTCTTGTACAGTCTGAAGTTGATCATACGAATCGTGTTACTTGTGTTAAGGGCGTGCCAGTTTCTTTGTACTTTGCCGGGGAGGGCCCGAGCTTAACCGTCAGTGTAGACGGTGAAAACTTATATGTTTTGTGTTCTATTCATTTGTGTCTATCTTTCCCTGAGATAAATTTTCTATCCTACGCAAAGGTATAGAGTATTATAATATGTTTTTTGAAGTGTACGTAGATCAACCGTGCTCTCACAAAACACACTTATCACTACACATATGCCTAAGAGTTGTCTGTTGTAGCCATCGTACCTGAGTCAGATTTCATATTTATACCTACAGAAGCAAAAGATGTCTCGGAAGATCACAACTGGGAGGAAGCCTCTCACAGCGACCAGTCTAGGCAACGCTCTGCGATCAAAGCACTCCAAACGAAAGCCGTCGGTATCACAATCGACCGTCAATCCAAACACAGCAGCTTCGTACAACCCTACAGGTAAATTATTCAAGCACATATCGTCTTTTTGACGATTCTCTTGGCATATAAAAAGGATAGAAATATGTGCAATGTCACTATTTCGAACATTTACGCATTACAGTTCTACGTTGTCCTTGTGTATACGAATGCTCTTAATACAGCATATAAGTCACCCGTAGCAGGCGTGTGTGTGAGGAGTTATCGTTACAAGTGTGTACTATGTTTGATGTATGTATTCTGTATCATACCCACATTGCACATATTGTATACAGATATCTAAGTTTTGTCAGGTGTGAATTGTGTGGAAGTGAGAACACTTAGTTCTGTCCTGTATATAAAGGTATGTACGGAATGTTGTATGTTTTACTCGTGAATATTTAATGAGCGTCGAGGACCAGTAACACATCTAGACTTATCAAAGTATCTACTTCGGCACCGCTACAATCTGTGCAGCTATTGGTATTTCAATCGTTCATCTCCCCAACCGTTTTGTTTCACCTACTTACAGTAATTTTACGCATACCTTTTGTCCTCCATGCATTCCATACAGGATCCATGCTCAACTACTTTTCTCAGATGGTCGGGTATGGCCAAACCGACAACACTGCAAAGGCGGGCATGGTGCATCCAGGCAAAGATCACTTACAAGGGAATGATTTTGTGGCGAGAAGGCTCAGGAATGTACTGAAAGGGCCACATGGGTCTACGTGACACTTTTTAGATCCTTCCTTAGTGAACATATTAAATAAAACCCTGCAAACTATGCCTTGGTATCTGCAGGTTAGCTCAGAAGGGTTGTTTTATCTTCTAGAGATATCACAGTTCTCATGCGACTTCACATGTCTTGATAACGTTTGCCTTGATGATAAACATAAAGTATTATGGTGACCACACATTGGCTTCGAAAATGTGCTTCAGCTTCTGAGTTGTACCTCAGTTCTTCAGGACACGTGATGTACAACGAAGCGCAGTATTCAACTTTCAATACGACACAAAGTCTAGGCTCTTTTGCTGACTTGTACATGTAGCAAATGAAACACTAACGTTTGTGCTTAATATTTAACTGTGACTGTAAATCCCAGACAACAAATGAGTACACCAAACATTATGTTATGGCCCGTTCATACCGCAATGAACACAGTGAGAGAAATCAATCCCCTAAATGTTATCTAGAAAAAAGTTTGAGCTACGTCTATATCACACACTATCACGCGTACACTACTGGAAACCTAACTTGTACAATAAAAATCGTAGATTTCAGATAAGTATCGCTGAATTTCCAATGTCAGTTCAGCAAGGAACCCAAACTTTGAGAACGATAACTGGCTTGAGCAACGACAAATATCTTTCAAGCACAACAAACAATCTATGTGTATTTCAAGCCTGCCTATACGATTGAAGACTCAAGTGTTGATAACTCCAGTGTTGATACGTCTATACCACTTGGTGGTCTGTCTTTGAGAGTTGACTGGCCATCATCATGCCAGTTAGTTTTATTTTGGCTGCGGATCATGCACACAAATCTCACTCGACAAACACACAGTGTCTGCTAGCTGTTACAACTCCTACAAAACCGCAAATACAATACCTTCCCAGACTACTTCGCCCAGAAACCGATACATATATTCTTGAATATTTGACGTGACTCTTAACCCTGCATGACGTTGCGGACAAATTCCTCGTAATTGATAGCACCGTTGCTATCTGTCTCTACACCAACCAGAAGTTGATCCACCTGCTTCGAAGTTAGCTTCTCGCCTAGAGAAGTGAGTACGTGTCTAAGCTCAACAGCGCTCATGAAGCCGTTGGCTTCCTTATCGAAGACGCGGAGTCCATCCGTGAACTCTTCTACTGATCCGGGGCAGTCGATGGTGGATCGCTCAAGAATCGGGGCGAATTTAGAGAAAGTGATGCGGGCTTCGCCACTTGGGTCCAACTCTGTTTGGATCTTTGCGACCTGTGTATAGAAGTGAGAAATATAAAAATAGTCAGTTAACGTGGTGTATTTTAGAACGGATACCTCAGAATCTAGTACAGATTACCTAATTACATTAGGTAGAATATACACAGTGAGAGGAAAGGTACTTTTAATTAAATTTAACTATAGGCAAACATAAGAATTGATATTGAAGTTTACCATGCCATGTCGTGAAATTTATACTCCATATGCATCCTTATACAACACGGTACTATATAGTGGCGCACTTGCCAAAATGTGCAGACTGGTCTATATATTGACTTCAATAGAATATGCTAATAACTAAACAGACTAAGTTTACGTCTTAGAACACGATACTGAAAGATAACACCTGCATTCTTGAGTAGCACACAAAGTCTCACAGTATTCCCGCACACGGTGGTCATCTAAGGAAACACTCCATGTATAAGTCCTTTTGCTACCATACTTCTAATTTTGTGAAATCATATGGATTATCACACTCACCTCAGTCTCAAGCGGGTTTTTGTTCATGGCGCGCAGAATGATTCCGATATCTTCGGAGGAAACACATTCGTCACCCTGTTTGTCGAAGATCAGGAACACCTCGCGGGCGGTATCGAGCTCAGAATCACTTAGAACCTGCAACAAAGTGTCAATATATTTGTCAGTACAGATATGATTCGGATAGTTTAGCATGCAAGTATAGTTGTTTGTAGACAGCTATAGATGTTGCTATATTTTCCTAGAGAAACCTGTTCGTCTGGCAGGCATTGTACGCCTCACACATGTTTATATAATATATATAAACTTTCGCAGATATATACGTACCCCAGATCATATACCCTCGATCGGATATGCCATCAAACAGTTATCATTATGTCTCTAGTTACTTAACTACTAAAATCGCACGCCCATATATCGCTGCAAGACTTGTCCAACGCGGATTCAGACTTACCATTATGTATTAATTTATGAATTCGACAAACGATGCTGGGATGAAATGACAGATATCTGCCAAAATTGCAAGAAGTACTCAACTTATATTATATTTAGCAACTATTACACCACCATAAAAACTACAACGGGGTATCCAATACCCTGCCCTCCTGTCCGAACTATACAAAAAACTACTACTGGAGCGAGAGACAGTAGGAGAGTATTTACTCGTATTTAGTTGCGACGAATATAAATATTTTCAAATTTCACACTTCGGTCTTCGATCAATCAAAGATTTTGGCCACGGCGATTCAATCGACCAGTCAAAGCTTAGTGCTCTTATCGGTCAGGATCAGTTATTTCTTTGACCAATCAAATAATAGAAAATGTGGCTTACATCTCTGGAATTTGTACGCTTTATATATTGTATTGGTACGGTTTGAATATGCAGTGTAGTACTGAGCGCCCGGTACGGTTTCAAATTTGTACGTTTTCCATCCAGATCGGTGTTGATACTTTAGGTGTAATATGCGACCTTTTATGATGGCAAGTGATGTTGAATTTTTGAAGCATACGACAAAAAACCATGTTCTCTACACGTAGTTTATTATACAAATAACAGCAAATAAGTCTTTTTGAATAAACAACAGGTAAATAAACAACGAAATATAATAAGGTATACGACACTCATAAAACGATGACATGTTTTTGAAAAGTGATGACTCAACAGTCAGAGAGGTTAATCGTAGTTTTTAGGGTTTACATATTTCTTGCAATAGTCGCGCTACCTTAGCCTCCAGCCTTATTTATGCCTCATAATATTGCATTGATTGCGGGAACTAGAGTGGGCGTGCACGCGACGTTTGCAACAGTACCACCAACTATGTATTAAATCATATGTACGTGTCGACTTTCAAATCAGGGTCTACATTTAGAGGTTGAGATTTGATTCTATGCTGTATAACTGACTTTAAATACGTGCCTCGTCTAATTTTGATAGAATTTGCACTTGTGTAGCACCGTGCACTTGTTAAGGAAAAAGGTTTCGGCACACCGTATGTAACATTGACTAACATCGATACCGCTATTGCAAAGAGTATTACTACAGCCTTCGTAATGGGTGGGAGTAATTCATTCCACAAGGATCATGCTATTCGTACGGGCAACATTGCACTCATTAAAAGGCACTTTTCTTTGCGACCATGGCTGGTGAAGAAAATCAACATAGCATCTTATGATGCAAAGGTATGAAAAGGAGAAAGATTAAACTATACAGCATATTTGTATACAAGCCTAATATAAGTATATAAATAGGTATATATAAACACACACGAATATATGTATATATATATATATATATATATATATATAATATATATATTATTTATATATATACTATATATATATATACTAATAGTTCGTTGTATTATTATATTAATTAACTTAACGTTAGGTTAGGTAGTTAGTTAACTTAAGTTAATTTAGTTACGTTTT